GCAAGTCTTCCTTTGCCACTGTATTAATATACTTCTGATTCTAATAAAATTATGTAAATTAGTATAATAAAATAACATAGTAAAGTCCCAAATAAAAACCAGAACTACACAAATCTATAATAAAATGAAGTCCACTAAAACTGAGGCCTGAAAGAATTACTTGCACAGATCAAGTTAGTATTGACAATAGGGTTCAATATCCTTTTACTGGGGAAAAAAAAAGGGTTGGAAGACAGGTCCATACTTTAAAGATAATACCTGCTTGGTACTTTAGATCATGAAGTTCCAAACCAGTAGAGAAGTAAGATTTTTTTTTTCTAAGTTGTCTATGAACGTATTACATGTATTGTCTTCGAAGGATGGGAGAGGAAGAGTAAAGAAAGTTAGAAAAACATCACTCTTTTACATCCTCCCTCAAAACTTCCTTAAAAAGCTCCAGTAAGTTAAACAAATCTATAAAAATAGAAAATAAAAAATATTCTTAAACTGCTCTGAGGAAAAATTTGTAATAAAGCAATACAATTTATGACATTTCCAAGATAAACTTTGTATTTTTTCCTGTTTAAGCATTTAATATTTCCAACGTAAACAAGCCACAATGCCTAAAACTGATATGACATTTATAACGTTAAAGGTCCATTAAAATTTGCTTCAAAATAATTTTGAAAGGGTGGGAGTTAAAGAGAACACAAGATTGGCCAAGTGTTGCTAAGTGCTGAAGGTGGGCAATGAGTTCATGGGGATTCAAGTTTCTCTTCTCTATGTATATTTTACATTTGAAGTTGTTCATAATAGAAAGTTTTTTAAAACTAGAAAATAAGTTCACAAAAATGAATCATGTATGGAACAGTGCATTTGTTTTTAAAACTTTGGAACAAATAATGATAACTATATTGGAAGTATCTCAAGAGCAACTTAAAAGAATGTACGCAACATATGTAACATTTAGACTCATATATAACAGTTTTCATCTTTCTTGTTAAATTTTCACTTGATGGAATATTTGGGTTTTATACACTGGAAATTGAAGAATTACAAGGCACTGAAGAAGAAAAATGAACAAATTTTTATATTGAAGCATTAAAATAAAAGAAAACAGACCAGAAAAAGAAGACATCATGAGTCTCTAAAGTACTTGCCTTACCCCTCTGAAAGCTAGTCACACTTACAGCAGCAAAGATAAAAGGTTTAATCATATATATCATATTCTAAATGCATATAAAAACTCACAGGCTACCTTCCTGATCCAGTTTTGATATGTAAAATCCTTATGACTCTTTGTAGGAAGGGTTCCTTTAAAAGGAAAGCATTTTTAATAGTAATTTCCTTCTTCTCCTCAAACATAAAAAATACTTCAACCAGTCCAACCAGGCAAGCAGGCCTTTCTCTTCCACTGCGGACACCTCCTGCAGTAGAGAAGTTCATTAAGTTTTATGATCTTCCCAAGTCAGTCCTGCTTATAAGCCTCACAAAGGCCACAAATCTGGCAAACCATCATGTATGCCATTAGACATTACTAGTAAATGAATGCTATTTAGGGTTTGTGGTGGCAATAAATCAGAGTTTGGTTGGCAGCTATCAATGTGGAGTATTTTAACCTACCATTTAGAAAGGAAAAGGTTATGTTGATTTTTTTTTTAATACACAACATTTTTTAACAATATGACTCAGATTATATACTGCTGAACTTTCATTTTAAAATTTTTTAAATACATTTTTTTCTCAAAAAGAGCCATTTCCTTCATTCAAACTCTCATAATTAAGGGCTTTGGAAAGAAGACAGATTTATGAGGATGGAATCCTCTCACAAAGTACTTCAACAATTAAGGTGGCCAGAAAGATGTGAGGGAATGCCCCCAAAGAAGTATGTAGATGAGGAGACCTCATAGCATCACGGATATTTAATGAGAGATAGATGGTAAAATATGGCTAAAAAAAAGAGGGAGAGAAAGAAATCTTAACATATCAACAATTACTTCATTGGTTGCTTACTTAGTTTAAAATGGACAAATATCTTGTTTTAAAGCCTGTAACTTTCATGTGCTTTCAAAATGCATAAATACCAAAATTCAACAATGACAGATATTTCTGCCCCAAAATAACTGTATGATAAATTTTATGAAAGAACACATTTTCAAGAAAAAGCAAGCATCTCATAGTATACTTTTCCTACCTCTGAACCAGAAAAAAATATAATTGTGGTAGATTACTCATTTATATGTCAGAAGGGAAAAATACCTTTTCGTATTTGGTAGGAGGGAAAAAAGATGTTTTCCAAACTAAATCCCTCATGTGCATCAGAACTTGCAGTGCTCACTGCCTGATCAGAAACCTCAAAATCTACTGGGCAGATCTACAAATACGTGGATTTTTTTTAATGATTTTGTCTTATTTTAGAAAAAGCATAACTGAAATGACATTATCCATTGAAAGGACAGCTTTACCCCCCATCTCCCCACTAGTCAACCCCCTCTATTGTGCAGGATAGAGTCATCACGTAATGTTCCCAGTTTCTATTACAAATGACTAGGTAAACTTTCTCTAGGTTATAGAGAATTAATCTTTGGATACTATGTTATTAGATTTAATAAAATTATTTTTTAAAAAGCATTATGCAATATACATTATATCCTACAGCGCTTATTATATAAGTTCACTGTTTCCAAAGCATGACTGTGGGAACAGATTGGGGGTGTGGGGGGAGGCCTGGAATTTGCTGTCCCAGTTTCTTTGCTTCGGTAACACTAATGTCTACACAGCTGTCTTATTTCAAATCAAGGATTCTGAGTCCAGCGTCCCTGTCTCCTTCTAAGACTAGTTTTGGAGTGAGGTGGAGCTATGGGTAGCAGGGGAGAAAGGAAAGCAGAGAAAGAGCTTCACCCCCATCAATCATTCAGTACTTAAATCCCGTCCCTCTCGAGCTCAGAGAGGCTGGCAGGAAGATGCCTCTGCCCAAGACAGCCGCCTTTACTCTTTGTCGGCTGTTGGCTTTTACAAAAGAGATAACGTGCAAACTTGGATCCGCTGGCCAAAGCACAAAAAGAGGATCTAATTTACAAGTTATCACTGAAAGCCTCACAAACAATTTTCAAAACACAAAAATTTCTTTTGTCAGCTACCTCTTGCTTCTTAAACAGCAAGCGCCCTGCCAAAGCTCTCTCTGCCAGTAATCCCAGACTCTGAAAAGGCTTGTTTCTTTTCCGTAACTCACCTTTGACATGAGGTTGACTATACTTTCCTTTCAGAATGGTGTAACTTAAGTCTTGTGCAAATAAGCAACTAGACGACTTACGCTTCCTAATTGAATTCTGCCTGCTGCTAAACGTCTAAACAAGAAAAGCAGTTTGCTGGGTTTGGTTCTTAAGCTAGCTAGGCCAAAACTTTAAAAAGGCAAAATAATAAATACAAATCATGAGGAGGGGGTGAGAGGGGAGGGACATCAATCCCCTCTCCTAGTAATATAAAGCCTTATAAAGTTGAATCAATCTTAATATTCACAACATAGTCAATACCCCAGTGCTTAGTTGTCAGCAGAAACTGAAGTGGAGCCCTGAACGCAAGAAAACCCTTGGACATTAAGCAACATAATTTACTGAGAATTACACACTTTTAGGCTTCTAAACTAAGAATCTTCAAGATTTAATGCTTGATGTCTCATTTTATAGTCAGATAAAAATTAGCTATGTTTTAAATCACAATGCTTTCTAAAGGTAGCTAAATTAAATCAACACAGAGTAAAAGTTAGTAATTTTAAATGCCTGTGGTTTTCAAAATGTAAAATACATCTTAAAAACAATCACTCAACATTAAGAAACCATGCATACTATGTGAATGAAAAGCAGGAAAAGCACTCTTTAAGGCTCTCAATATTTGTTGTTAATTATGGTTTTAGCATGTATTTTAATACACAGCAATAACCCCTCACCTTTTATTGATTACTTTTAGGATCAGAATAGAATTGCAGGGTGAAATATCTGTTTAAAAGGAGGGCAACTCTCTTACCAACTAACAATTATATACAGTGTGCTATTATTTGTACACTCAATTTAAACACAATCACATTTAACCTTTTAAATATCTCCACTTAAACACTGCTATAGCCTAGACTTTTTCTCTTCTTTTCTCTTGCCAACTTAAAAAATGGCAACTTTATAATACTGTATACCCAGCACACATACACACACACACACACACACACACACACACACACATACTTGTTCACCATATACAGGGAAGATAACGCCAAATAGGACCTAAAACATCTAGATTAAATCTCTAATTCCACTTGAGTCGCTACTGTCACCTTAAGACTAAAATATCTTCAATTTTAAAAAGTCTAACAAGGAAACTAAGTGGAAATGAATTGTCAGAAATTTGCCTAATATGTATTTGTAGTTTTCATTCCAGCACTTCTGTAAAAGCTGTCTCCTCATATATTCCCTTCCTTGAACACTTCAAAAATTGCTCAACCTGCACCTGTGGACCTTTTACTACTTCATAAAATATATTAAGTATGCTTACAAAGTAATGGCTTTAAACATAAAATTTAATAAAAGTATAATAGATGTAATAAATACATTGTATATGCCTAAACATATCATTACCCTTCTTGCTTCTTAAAAGTAGTATTCCCAACTAAAACACTAATTCAAACATGCTACTGGGGTCTGTTCAATTGCATCTATTCTTCTATCTGTGGAACTGAAGCTTAAGGCTACGTAAAACAAAGTTCGGGATATGCTTCTCCCCGGGTCTCGTCCCTGGCATCCAGTCTCCCGTTGCTCCTTTTAAAAACTGACATACAAACAAGGCGAAAGGGCGGCAGGCGCTCCCGGCCCTCTCCCCGCCTGCCGCCAGGGGTGGCCGCCTGGGGACTGCGACCCAGACCCGTCCGCATCTACACTTCATTTTACACAAGGAGCGGAATTAAGAAATCGACTCCAGATTTTATTGCAGTTTTTTCTCACGATCAGGAGGTGGGAAGGAAAGAATGATCAAAGATGGCGGTGCCCAAAAGCAGCAGCTCTCAACTGGAGAGTCGAAGGAGTAGCTCGGACCCCACCTCGGGGGTCTCCGGGCCCATTGCGGGGCGCAGCGTCTTACCTGTTTTCTCTTTGATCTCACACAGGACGCTGAAGAGCGCGGGTTTCATTCTGTGACAGTTCAGGGCATGTTTCCTTAAAAAACAAATAGCAAAACACAAAGGTATTAGCATCACCTATGTAATAATATGGCGCCTTCCTTTAAGTTAGACCCAATATTTAATTCCGGCCCCCTATTTTGGAAGGCTCTTTTGAACCACCGCAAGTCAACCGAAACTCAAGTTGACTAGTTAGCGACAGCCGACAAGCTCCGGCGGCTAAAGCTCCAGCCCGCACGAAGCGCGACCCATCTGCCCGGCAGTCAGCAGTCTCGGCCACCGTGGGACGCGAACCTGCTCGGGGAGCCGGATTCCGGGGGCAGACGGCGGCGACCCGCGGGAGGCGACGGCGTGGAGGGGCTCCTGCGTCCGCCCTCCGCCGGGGGAGCGGGCGCTGCGCGGGCGGCCGGCCGGCTGCGGCCAGCGGGCGGTGACAGCTCGGCAAAGTTTGCGAGGCGGCCCTCCCTTCCCGAGAACTTGGCCGCCCGCGCCCGGACCCGCCGGGGAACCGCCCAGCGCCCAGCGCCCGGGCTGGGGCGGCCGCCCGCACGGCGAGGTCGTCCCGCGGCCAAGCGGAACCGGGCGCTGGGACCCTGGGCCGAGGAGAAAGTTGCACTTCCCTCAAGTGCGGCCCGGGTCCCGCTCGCAGCGGCGTGCACCCGGGTCCGGGCGGGAGGTTTGAATCCGTGCGAGAGGGCCGGGCTGCCAGAGGGCCTGACTAGGGGGGCGGGTGAGAGACACCCACAAAATCCACGCGGCACGAAGTCCGTCCCGCGCCCCGAGAGCAACTTTGCCGACTCCCGCCCGCGTCGAGGGGCGCCAGGGCAAGTCCCCCCGAGGCCCGGGCCGGCGGCCTGTTTTCGGAGAAAGTTCCCCGCCCCGGGCTGAGGCCCCGGCCCGGGCGCCACCCCGACCTCGACTGTGCCGCGGGCCCGGCTCCCGCACACACACAAAAGATGCTTAATGAGACGACACCAACTTTGCTTGCGCCTCGTCCAAGCTCTGGTCGGTGATGGTCATGATCTGGTGGAGGATGTCGCCGATGTCCTGCTTCCTGCCGTCGCCGTCCGCCCCTTCGTGGCCGTGCGGGGGAGGCGGCAGGGCCATGCCCCCCTGCACCGAGTGGCCCGCCAGGTTCACCCCGGCCAGAGTCTGCAGCATCCTGGATTGATCGTCCATCCCGCCGCGCGCGGGCGGGAGCGGGCGGCGGCGGCTGAGGCGAAGGCTGAGGCGGCGGCGGCGGCGGCGACGACGACGAGGGAGGAGAAGAAAGAGGGGGAGGGGGAGGGGAGGCGGCCGCGCGCTCCCCGCC